CTGGGAACTATGCCTAAAAGGCCAGAGTTTCTCAGACAGGGGTTGGGTTGGATCTTTACATCTTTAGTTTCTTAATTAAACTGTGCCAGAATGTGGGCTGCCTGCAATTTCATTTGGCTTAAGCTCATCTAATCTAAACTGTCTGCAGAAGCAAGATGCAAGTCCTTTCCTTGGTTTGCAATTCCAGATTCAAGCCAAGTCTGAGCTCAACGTATGAACAATGAGATCAGTCAGGGAGTATGAACTTGAGATCTATAAGCCTGAGCTTCAAACTGACAGTCTGGGTGTAATGTTCCTGCTATCCTCAGCAAGCGGGAATGGGACAGAGAGCAGCAAATTTCTTGTACACACTTAAAATAGAGCCATCACCAATTACCTTATAGCACAAAAAAATAAAATGCTGAAAATACATGCAGAACTGAAACTTTCTGGAAGTGCAGAAGACAGGAAGGCAGTCTGAACATGACTTCAATCTATACGCAGACCTGGAGCCTTATATTTGACAGTGACTGGTTGCAAAGTGTGCATTGTAATCATTCAAAGTCAGTTCCTGCTGTGTAAGATAGCTGTGAATCTGGAGTTCAGAAGTACTGGGGGTTCTGCACTTCATGTAGAAGCTGACTTCAATCAGTACTCAGAGCAAAAATGGCAAATGAAGAGAGCTGCTGACTGTATGTGCCAACCCACCTAGAACAGTAAAGAGCTGGAGGAACCTCCCCATCCCCAAGTTCTTCACTGTAGAACAAAGCCCAAAGGAGGAAGTGGATAAGCTTATTGCAGTGGGATTTGAAAAATTTCAGAGATATCACTGGCTACATCAGTGAATAAGCAAAGAATCTCTATTTATGAATAGATAATAAGAAAATGACAAGAATTATAGTCTTTTCTCACTTTCTGTAAAGGGTGAAATGTTGGAGGATAATATCGATGACAAGCGTTCTTCTATATTGGATGTGTCAGCAGAGTTTGACAAAGCCCCCAGGAAGACAGAATGCATGTTTGTGCTCAGGTAGCACTCCCTTTGGTGGGTAACTTTCCCAGCAAGGTACCATTGTGTGGTGCTTGTTCCTTGAGAGGAAAAACAGAAAAAAAAAAAAAAAAAGGCAGCAGAATTTGTCAGTAAAAGTAATAAAACATTTACAAAGATGATGTTCTGATGCTGGGAAAAAACAGTAAGCAGTGCTTATAATCAGAAGCTCTGGACAGCTTGGGAAAGAGCATCCAAACTACAGGTAGACAAGCATTAATTTGAATCAGATCCAGTGGAAGTCATCCATTCAGGAGGAATGAGCAAGAGGTACATTTAGATGGAGCAAATAGTGAGGCTACCTTCCATATGTACACCCACCACAAGAAATAAAATGAAGTTGTAAGTTAGTTAGGCAAAGTGATGTCTAATTCTCCCACCACACCTGAGCATGCTACTGAGCAAAGAAGGTATCTTTACAGGTTATAGGATGCAAGACTTAACAAAAAGCTTAAGAAAGTGAAAGGATTAATTAACAAGTATCTGATTTTGACATAACATTGCAGGATGCTTAAATCTGAGCTGCCTATGAGTGGTGATGTTTGTTTCAAGGAGAACTGTTGGGGAGCAGTAGGAGGGGGATGCGCAGCACACGGGAGGGAGCCAGGGCGAGGGTGGCCACAGGACCAGGACGTGATCGTCAAGGAAAACTGGGCAGGCCCAGCCATGGTGGCTGGGGTGCAGTGTTGGCTGGGCTCATCCGTGGCAATGGGGCCAGCCTCTGCTCAAGCCAGGCAGCAGCTCAGCAATACATGAGGCTGGGGCAGTAGAGGTACGAGGCTGGGCATGGGCCAAAAGCCCAAGTGGGACCAAAATGCTTGCATATTTACAAGGGATAAATGTTGCTACCTGGTAGAGGCTCTAAATCGCTTGTCACTGTTTTCATGGTGGACCTTGTATCCATGTACCTGACCAAATAGAGAGATGATGCTTTCGTTTCCAGGTGCCTGACTTCAGAATATAGTCTGGAGAGAGACTGGGTTGTTGTGCATGTATTTCCTCCACGGTTAGGAGGAAACACACAGTGAAGCAAATTGCAGAATTACAAGTCTTTATAAACCAATCTGACTAAACCAGAATATTTTCTGTTCTCACGTGAAGTGGAAGCTTGTGCTCTTGATTGAGACCTAAAAGAAAAACAATTTAAGCTGTCAGCACTGGCAGCCTAGTATATCCCTAATTTTTGGAGGTTTCTTAATCAGGTGTAGAAGAGAAGCTTTAGGTAGTACACTAAAATTTCGTAGGAGCCATTTGAGTGGTGATTCCTGAAATGTTACAGAAAAATGAAATTTAGAGACTGAAAAACCTAATAGCCAGAGACACTTTTTACAGGCTTCAAATGAGCTCCATCTCTGAAGAAGCTCTGAAGCTTGTAACATACAGACAATGCAAATATTATGAATGAAAAAAAATCAACACATTTA